CAGAACTTCCGGGTCAAATAACCGGGCAAACGGGTACGTCCCCCAAGAAAAAGAATATATCCCCACCTTTGGAAACAATTTCAGAAAAATCTGATCGTTTTTACTAAAGTAGAGTTAAGTCGATTTGACTGAAGGCATATCATCTCAAAAATAACCTGGAACTGCCGCTATATATAAAGCATTTTCTTATGAACTTTAAAGATAACACCAAAAAATCATCACGCCATAACTCAAAATCTTGACCTATGGCGATTTTGTCCTTCGGAGTTCTTAGAATACTTTTCAAGGGCTTTCGCCCCATAAAGAATTTATCACACCCCAGACCATGTCCACGATTTTGTGTCACAGTGTTATCAAATCTGAAGAAGGTACCCTCAGAACATCACCAAACGTGTGGTTTCATCTGATTAAAATCGAAGTTCCTTAATGCCCTTTTTCCTTGTTCTTTCAAAGCCCTCTTATATTTTCGAACTACCCTAACATATTTATCTTCAAAATATTCCGTGCTTACATCTCCACATATAAAGTTGCTTGCCGGTCGTTGTCATAGTGTGAATGTGCTAGGTAAACAGTATAGTATTTGCCAAAGTGCGAATTTAACACTGAAAACATATTTATGCACTTAACGCATACAGCAGCTCATGAGTTATCATCACTTCATACATATATTGTTTCTGTTGTCAGCACAAAAACGAACACTCTCACTCACACACACACATTCATATACAAATTTATTTGCCTTCAGCAATGGCAAAAAAAGGAACTGAGATATTTATGCGATTTAATGTTATTTAATGTCATGGTAAGCAAGTTAACGCCCAAATGTAAAAAATAAGGTTGCAGATCTGTGACTTGTAAAAGAGAATGCGATTGAAAAGTGTCTTATAGACCCTACCCACAGCCATCAAAACACTTTAAACCGTTTAAGTGCTTATTTCTGTAAGTACCGGAAATCCGTCTAATTTTGTATTTTTTCTGCTTCTTTTCGGTTTTTTCTTCGCTTTTATCCTTAATCTTAATTATACTTTAGAAGAAGTCTTGTAGCCATACAGGGATTGAGGGAGAGTTAGCGAAACGGCAAAATGTTAGGGATACAAAAAAAGGCCTGGGCCAAGAAAAACTAATTGTGGAAAAGCAAAAAAGGGACAAATAAAATAATAACAGCAAAATGGGCAACATTGAGACAAAAAATAAATAAAAAAATGGTAAAATGCGGCTTCCTTGACAGCTGGCCACACTGCAACACAAACATATACTAAGAAGGGCGTCCACCACCACCACCACAAATAATATTGTTTTTTTCCAACATAGGGGTTCTGCAGTCCTTGCTGAAAGAATATTTTACTCGCCTTGTTTTTTTTTCTTTGCTGCATGATTTACATGTTGCTGCTCCTTAAATCGAAGGAAAAAAACACATCATTTTGGAAATCTTGCACGTTACGACAAGGGCCTTGCTATAATGGTTGTATTTTTTCGTGGTTATTTTCCACTTTAAATGTTCGTCTGTCACACCCTTTTCATAATGTTTTCACCCAGCAAATATGAATGCGTGTAATAATATTTTTTTATTCGTCTACCTTAAAAATGTTTATAGTTTTCAAGGCTCAGCAGGATTCCTGGTTGAAAGATGAGAGAAGACAGTAACGTTGCTCAGCCGACTTTATTAAGACAAATGGTTTTTTTTGTGATTGATTTATGGGCAATATTTTTGTTAGTTGGAAAGCTATCGTAATAAAGTTTTTGGCTGTTGTTTTTTTTTGAGGGGAACTGGTCATTAATATTCATTTATTTTTAAAATCAATTTTTCAATAATTAAAATTTTGGAGGTTTTGGTTAAAGGCAAAAAGGAGGAAAATATTAATTGTTTTATATTAAGTGGTCCAAAGAGGACAATATATAAAGTATTTGGTACAAGGTTATCCATTTCGTGATTTTAAAAGTAACCGTAAATAGATCACATATAAAATACTTTTTTTTATGATATACATATATAACCTACACCATAAGGTGGACTGTGTATTAAATTGTTCATTCAGTTTCAAAAACCTCGAAACATTCACCGGAGGCTCCTCAAAGTATATATAAATTATTGATCAGAATAAAATTCCAAGTCGCTTTTCGGATGTCCGTCTGTCTGTCCATCTGTTGAAATCAGGATAGAGATCGCAATATTTAAGATAGAGCTCGGAAATTTTGGACAGACATTGCTAGTACTTCTAGGATATTTTGTATCGCAACTGGCATATATTGGTCCCCGTTTTGGTGTAGCCATAAAAAGGTACTCCCCAATACTCGATATTTTAGAGATTTTAGACACGTTTTCCACCCCGATTTTGATGTTGCCCCCATATAACGGTACTCCCCAATACTCGACACGTTTTCCAACCGAATTGGCTATAATTTGGCATGTTGGCTTCTCATGGAATAGCACATCTCCGTAGCAAACATTTTTGATATTAGAATAAAATTGGAATATTAAACACGGTTTTCAACCGAATAGGCTGTATTAAAATTTATTAATATTGGCCAAAGTTTCAGGGTAGCCACCATATAACAGTCGACGCTAGCCTTTTTTCCTAGAACGTTTATGCTAAAATTTTAAATTTAAAACGAACAATAAGTAGGGGAGAGGGGGGCACCTTTGAACACTTTTTTCTTTCAAGCCTCATAATTTTTTTTATTTTATAATTTTTGTTTTCTTATAAATTTTAACTAATAGGTACATATGTAACCTTTACAATGAATATATATATGGCATACTTTAAGCTTAATATAAATATTTTATTGCTGTTTTAAGAGAGGAAGTCAAACTAGCCAAAGTGGTTTAGGCAGATAAAGAACAAGATAGCCATTTACAAAAATGTGCTAGCGTATCGGAAAAAATTTAAACCAAGATTTTATGAGCGCTGTTCAAAGGTGCCCCCCTCTCCCCTATAGTCCATGCCTTAAATATGTAGCGGTCAGTCACATTTCTCGAGCCTGATTGGATTGATAGGTTTTAAGTAACCTCGTAAGTCTGTAAACACTGTTTGAAGTCTTGAGAGACTCCCTTGATATGTTATAGGACAATTTTTGAACAGTAATAGGTTCGTCCGATCCAAACATTTTATACTATCCACCATAGGGTGGCAATTTATATCGGGACCTTTATAATCGAGTTATGATATTGTCAATTATGCTACTACACATCAAGGTTGTACCTTCAACATCTCATTGGTATATAGGGCTCTGGAGCGACCTGAAAAACTGACAAAAATTAAGTATTTTCATCCCCTAAATATTAACCGATCTTTACCAAACACCAGTGAGCGGAGCAGTATAGTCGGACGGGCCGACCATACGATACCCTACACTACTACCACGGAACTCAAATTTTCTTCGGATGTTAATTCCGAGCCTGGGCAATATTTCGCGATATTTTCACCCACTTGCCTGATTAGAGGTAAACAGGGCCACTTCTTTACACTGACATATTTTCCGAATATTACGAGTATTCAGTACAGCTATTGTGGTCTATAGATCGACTCGAAAATAACACAAAAATTAAGTTTTCGGTCCACTTCATTCCAAAATTATTATCTGATCATCACCGACAATTATAGGCGTTGTCCTTGACCATAACTGGAACCTCATGAAACATTTCAAAGTGATTAGCGCTATAGTTCCGCTCTCTAGAGTGATAATGGGTTACTAAATAATATAGGAATATGGAGATACCTGTAAATATTTAGGTGTAACTCCCACATCCGAACACATACGACGATATAATTGGTATTAATTTAAAGCTCAACCTCTTCTCATGGGTCTATGTCCATCTATGTCCGATCTTTCCCAAAAAACAATAGAGGTCTTCATTGGCCAGAACCCATCTTACATGCAAAATTTCGTGAAGATTGGTCCATAACTGTGGCCTGCAGCGTGTTTACAAATTGTAATGGACAGACGGGCGGACACATATGCCTAGATCGACTCAGCTAGTCGAGATATGACGATCGGTATACTTAAAGGTGAGTCTAGGACCCCAGACCAAAATCGAAAATGGGACTCAACGGCCCACTCCTTATTCTACCTCCATCACAACATTCACATATATGGGTCCATCACCTCTGCTACCTTCAAAACAATGATTTGATAATTTTCTGCATAGATATTTATCACCCGGATTGGAAAATGTTGAATACAAAATTACAGCAGATTTTATTGGAAAATTGTTCCACATCTCAAAATTCTGAAATTCCTATTACATTCACTTCTATCGGAAAATGCTGCGGTTATATGAAGGAAATTAGAAAACAATAAATATATAAAATGTGCCCATGTTTCTGCAAAATTTTAAAACTAAACAATTATTTGCATTACATTGAGTTCAAATATTTCAGAATAATGTCAATATTGTGTTATTCTTAAAATTCTTTAAAATATTCCAAAACTCTAAACAAATAACCAAAACTAAGCTCAAATTCAACTGCAACAGCAGTAATCTTCATCAGGAAGTAAATTTGCAAATAATGGCAGGCTTTGTTTACTAGTTTTCGGCGAGCAGCAACCAGCAACAAAAAAACTGCACTTCATTCATAGAAAACAATAACTAGACCATAAAAGACAATGAATGTGGATGTGAATTTCGACTGACAATAAAAAAAACCAAACCTTCAAAACTATTGTTTTGGGAACTTTTTTGCTGGCATTCCGCATTTCATTGCATTCAACTTATGAGCACCCACCCAGCACTGACCATAAATATTATGCATATAAAACAAAGGGCTGAACGAAGGAACGGCCGGTCGGCTTTTTAACGATAAATCGTATAAACACAACATGAGACAAAGTGGCATATGGGGAGTTTTTTTTTCTTTTCTGTGTGGTTTTTAATATGAAGAATTTTTTTATTTAACAAATACTAAATAGTTGTATGTTATTTTCATAGGAATGTATATTAAATTTTAAGTTTTTTTTTTTTGGTTTTCCTATTTTTCATGTGTCTTTTTTTCCTATTTTAGATGTCAACATGGTGGCCGAACCCAAAGCCCATCAAGTGGGACGTAAGCGACAAAATATAAATAAAACTGGCAATGATTGGTAAGTATGAAGATCAAAGTTTATAATTTTTTATAATGGTTATATGTTTTGGAATAAAAAGTTTAAATGTTTTGAAGGGGTCGCGAATTTCAGTCACCATAAAATCCGCATATTAAAAATAAGAGAAGCAAAAACGAATGTTAAAAAAACAACATCGTTTCCCCCAGCTAAAGTTATAAATTGTAAACTATGCTATTTCACTCAATGTCCGGCAGAGAATTTTCAATTCTGTTGTAGCTGGTGCTTCTTCACTGCCATGCAATATTTCGCGAGAACTTGTCATACATAACATTGGTGCTTTGTCTTTGCAGGACACTTGGAATGCCGAGAAATAAAATTGTTATATGCGTTTTGTGCACCATACACCGAAAGATTGAGGAATTATGTTTGTTAATTTGTTTGTACAGTTTGTTAATTTGTCTATCAATGTGTTCATTTGTATATCCTCAACTTTATATCTATATATGTTACATACAACAAACATATATTCTTCATCGAAATATTGGTTTTAAAACCCAAAATTTCCAAACTTTTTCTGAAATTAGTTTGTAAATGAATGGCCTTTTTCAATTATTGTGAAAAATTCAGGAATTGCGTAACAGAATTTTTGGATTTCAAGGAATTATCGTCAGCAAAGATGTCAGATAACAACATTTTCACTTTGGAAATAATACGAGTGGAGTTAGACTCATTATGCGATCAAGTAAAGAAGGCATATTTCGAGTGTCGTGATCATGTACCACAGGAAGGAGAAATTACAATCGATAACAAAAAACTCAGGATGCGTTACAGGGAAGTCATGGGAGGTTATAAAACTTCTTTAAGTTCACTAAACAAGAAAATTCAGACAATCAATTATAAACAAACGGAAGGCAAATAGACTGACAAAAATTAATGGTATTTTCAAATGATTGTTATACCCTACACAACTATGTTGTCAGGGTATTATAGCTATGTGCAGCCCCAAGAGTTTGTAACGCCGCGAAATATTGGTCCTATACCCACATTTAAGTATATCGATCGTCATATCTCGACAAGCTGAGTCGATCTAGACATGTGTGTCCGTCCGTCTGTCCACTATAATATGTAAACACGATACAGGCCACAGTTATGGACCAACCTTCACGAAATTTTGCATGTAGGAAGGTTTCGGTAAAGATCGGTTAATATTTAGGGGATGAAATGCACCAAATACTTAATTTTTGTCGGTTTTTCTGGTCGCTCCAGAGGCCACAGTTATGGCCCAAACATTTAGAATTTTTACTTGGAAAAGGGAATTGGGCCAAATAACAATTATGCCTGTTTTGATAAAAACTGGTCAATATTTAGCGGGTCAAATGGACCCTGACTTTTGTGTGAAAAATTACAAAATTTGTATTCTACAGCGTATATATTTACTCCTGAGGGACATAGAGCCGAGAAGTTGATAGTATACCCAAGAGGAGTGGTTTACCTTTAAGGGAACCCCCCCCCCCCCCATTCGCAATTGTAATTTTTCAAGATTTTCAATGGGCTAGTAAATCAATACCAATGCTTGTTAAGCTTTGTAACTTTGCACATATATATTTGAAGATTTAAGAGAGAAGAAAAATAATTTACAAACAATTTTTGTTATTGTTTTGTTGTTGTTTTTTGTAATTACAGAAAAGTCCTTATTTTTGATGGCGGGCATGATAACTCCTCACTGGAACATCGGAATCCGAAAATTCCAACGGTGTTAGAAAGAGTACATGTCTGGCTCTCGTATGAACTAGGATTATTGACTTCGCTCTAAAATTAACAAAATGATGGACCTTTGAAAAAATATTTTTGGAAAATCGCCGATTTTCGACCAAAAACCAAGTTAAAAAATAAGGAAGATCTTCAGCGATTGGCTTTATCCTAGTTCATACGATAGCTATACACTAAACATTGTAAAAATTTGAAATCGATTGGATTATTAGTTTTTGAGTTATTGTGCCCGCCATTCACAAAAAAATGTTTAGAGAAAAACGCGTTTAAAGTTTGAGAAGCCCTTCAGCCGTCACTTGATGCTGCCACAATAAATCGGCTATATCTTCAAGAGTTCTTCAGATTTTCACTTGAAATTTTGTAGGGACATTCATTAATTAGTGTAGATTCGAATAATATCAACAAAATTTTTGACCTTGAGAATGGGGGGTGCCCTTAAATGGATACCAATTATATTGTTGTATGTACTCGCATGTTGGAGTTACACGTAAATATTTAAAGGTGCTTACGTATTAAGATATTGTTTAATAAACCATTACCACATTAGAAGGCGGAAATATTGCGCTGGTCGTTTTGAAATGTTCCATGAGGTTGCACTTATGGTCAAGGACAACGCCTATTTATGATCAGATAATAATTTTGGGATGAAGTGGACCGAAAACTTATTTTTTGTGTTTTTTTTTTCGATTCGATCTATAGGCTACAATTATAAGCCGAACATCACATCACATAGAATTAGAACAAGTGTAAATTAATATTTTTCAAAGGATAAAAACGTGTATATATATGAAACCAGTGAGCGGAGCAGTATACCATAACCCACGGTGAAGAGAATGTGGACAAGTAATTAGAAGAACTGTAGTGAATATTGGTAATATTCGGAAAGTATGTCAGTGTAAGGAAGAGTGCTGTTGACCTCTAATCGGGAAAGAGGGTGCAACTATCACGAAATATTACCCAGGCTCGGAATAAAAATCCGCAAAAAGATAGAGTTCTGTGGTAGTTGTGTAGGGTATCGTATGGTCGGCCCGTTCGACTATACTGCTCCGCTCACTGCTTTCAATTATTTCCGAATTTCTCTTGTAACATTTTTTAGGGTAGAAAAAGTTCGCTCTGACCGATTTTAGTACAGTTTTTACTTCTCTCTGATAGTGTGCTTAACGAGAGAAGTTTTTAAAGTTTGCTAAATTAATGAAAATTATTCGATACCGAAAAATATTAACTGCACAAAGTGAACAAGAAAATCTCAGAAACAACATTTCCGAAATGAGCCTGCCGTGTCCAAATTTTATGGTCGAGATTTTAAATTCTGAAAATTCCACTCACTTCACACAAATAAATAACCCAAACCTCGTATTTGTTTTACTCTTTTTGTGTCTGTGTACAGAACTGTCATCATTATCCTGACCATCAACTACCAAATGTCAACGGTTTTTGTTTATTTTTTTTTTTTTTTTGCGTTTGGTGTACATACGTTACTATATATGGCTAGTGTTGACAGAACACTCCAACCCATACGTTTTCATTATGGTCATGTTGTTCATACATGGATGGGTCAAACAACAAGCCGGCCATCATACAATTTGGCTGTGCCGCCAAACTACTGATGAACTTGAGGTCATCACATAAACGGGGTTCTGAATTCTGTTTTGTTTTTGTTGCTTTAGTTGTTATTTTCTTGTGGAACAACATTTTTAGTTATTTCAATTTACTGAAGGACACTGAATTTCACACACAAAATGTTGCTAGCTAGTATGTTGCAGGGCCACAACATGTGACAATGAACAAACATACAAACCGATGGACGAAACTATCTGGACTAAAGCAAAAAATTGCCAGTGACACAAACATATCCGTAAAAGAGAAAGACATTTAAGTGATGAATTGTTGTATTGTTTGTTATTTGCTTGGCAAAACAAAAAAAGAAAGCTCCAGCAAACAAACGACGACTGTCGCCAGGCATGCAACAAAAATATGCATACAACAATCATAGCCAAAAATTTGAACTTTATTTTTAACTTCTTACTAGCTGACGGACTGGGTAGTCCCAGAACCTTGAAATGGAAATGTTGTGGCTTCTACATTTGCTATACAAATGCTTTCGCAGCAATACCCGCACAGACATCAAGAGTAAACATAAATGATGGGCATATTCGTACATCTACAAGCGAAAAAATGTTTAATGACATGTAAATAAAGGTTATCAACCCCCATGGTCCTCATATTTCCAAATGTTGTGTATTGTGTACAGAATATTTCAAGTTCAGCATATGCGAGGTCTTGTAGTGTAATGGGAAAGATTTAAGGTGTACGTAGAATTAGAACAAGTGTGAATTAATATTTTTTTCAAAGGATAAAAAAGTGTATATATATGAAACCAGTGAGCGGAGCAGTATAGTCGGGCGGGGCCGACCATACGATACCCTACACAACTACCACAGAACTCTATCTTTCTGCGGATTTTTATTATAATATTTCGTGATAGTTGACCCTCTTGCCCGATTAGAGGTCATACACGGACATAAATTACCAATATTCCTTACACGGACATATATTACCAATATTCAGTACAGCCCTTCTAATTACTTGTACATATTCCCTTCACCGTGGGTTGTGTTGTGATGTTCGGCTTATAATTGTAGCCTATGGATCGAATCGGAAAAAATAAGTTTTCGGTCCTCTTCATCCCAAAATTATTATCTGATCATCGCCGAAAATTATAGGCGTTGTACTTGACCATAACTGGAACCACATGGAACATTTCAAAGCGATCTGCGCTATATATCCACCCTCTAGTGGGGTAATAGTTTATTAAATAATATCTGAATACGAAAGCACCTGTAAATATTTACGTGTAACCGTTGACCGATCCTTATCAAAACAGGCATTCTTATTATTTGGCCCAATCCCCTTCTAAAATTTCGGGATTTTTGGGCCATAATTGCGGTCTCTGCAGCGACCTGAAAAACCGACAAAAATTAAGTATTTGGTCCATTTCATCCCCTAAATAGTAACCGATCTTTACCAAAAACAATAGGGACAGGCAAAAGGAAACGAGATAGACACATGGTTCCTTTTGAGAATATGCGTAGAATCACTTTCTAAGTCGATTTATGCATGCGACCGTCTATCTGTCTGTCTATCCATATTAAATTGTAAACAAAGTACAGGTCGCATTTATTATTCGAATTGGATGACATTTGGCATAGCTCATTCGTTTGACCCAAGGACGAACCCTATTGAAGTTGGGAAAAATCGGTTCAAATTCAGATATAGATCCCATATATATTTTCGTTAGATTTTAGGTAAATAGTGCACCAAACTCCCAATATTTGTCCGATTGGCATACAATTTTGCACAGCGTACTGAATTAAGGCTAGAATGATGTGTTCTTAGTCTGGTGAAAATCGGTTCAGATTTAGATATAGCTCCCATATACATTTTCGTCCGATTTAATGTAAATGGTGCACTCAAGACCCTATATATCTTTCGATTTGTACGAAATTTGGCACAGCGTATTGAATTAAGTCTAGAACGATGTGTGTTAAATTTCCTGAAAATCGGTTCAGATTTCGATATTGTTCCCATATATATTTTCGTACGATTTAATGTAAATAGTGCACCAAAGTCCTTAAAAAGCTTTCGATTTGCACGAAATTTGGCACAGCGTATTGAATTAAGGCTAGAATGATGTGTTCTAAATCTCGTGAAAATCGGTTCAGATTTAGATATAGCTCCCATAGACATTTTCATCCGATTTAAGGTAAATGGTGCACCAAAGTCCCTAAATATCTTCTATTTGCACGAAATTTGACACAGCGTACTGACTTAAGCCTAGAATGATATGTGCTAAGTCTCCTGAAAATCGGTTCAGATTTAGATATAGCTTCCGTATATATGTTCGTCTGATATAAGTTAAATGTTGCACCAAAGTCCCTCTATACCTCTCGATTTGCACGAAATTTGGCACAGCGTACTGAATTGAGTCTAGAATAATGTGTGCTAAGTTTCGTAAAAATCGGTTCAGATTTAGATATTGTTCCCATATATATTTTCGTCCGATTTAATGTAAATGGTGCACCAAAGACCCAATATATCTTTCGATTTGCACGAAATTTTCCATAGCCTACTGAATTAACTCTAGAATTGGATCCGATCAGATTTAGGTAGTGTGCAACCTTGGTTTATTTATTTATTTAAAACGTAATAATCATTTTGCTTTCTTTGTTGTTCATTTCTTATTATTACAAACAAACATATTTACATAAATTTATTTTTTATTTGGTTTTTCTGTTATTTAAACGGACAAGAGGAAAAACACTTCCCTGAGAACTTCAAAGTTTCGTGTGATCCTTAAGGCCACTCAGAAACCAAAAAAAGTATGTATATTTGGGCAGGCAAGCAAACATATGGTCCTGAGTATTTGTCAATTTGTCAAATTCTTGAGTTCGGGTGCGGTACAACAACAACAAAGATTTAAATGTGAAATTTAATTAAAATACTCACTCATGTGAGCCATGAAATTGTGTTATTTAATTAAAAAAAAAAAAAAAAAAAACTACAGCAAAACATCAACTGTTCATTTTAGTTGATTCACTAACTAACCGCTGGAATGGGACAATTTAAGAATTTGTTTGTATGTGGGTGTGAATATTTGTTTGTTGATTAAATGTTGTGTTATAAATAGTTGTTGATGATGGCGAGGGAGGGGGTAGTCGGTGAAAAAGGAACATAGCTTCCATGTTAAATTGTTGTAAATGTCCTGAAATTCCAACCATGCATACTTACATGCATGTACGTATAGAAATCCATTAATATATTTCACTGCCAATAAGCCAAAGTTCATCATCAATCATCGATTATTTTCATTGGCATGTCTCTGGACATAGTGAGTCCGCTCACTAAGTCAGCCATCCACTTATAGGAAATTGTTCATTTGGTGACTTGAGTGAATAAAAGGAAAAATGGTAGAAATGCTTAAATTGAAGGAAAGTGTGAAGAGATGATTGTTGTAATAGAGTAGAAGGGGAATTGTATTATATATTTCTATTTTGTTGATGTTAAATGTTTCACGAGGAATTCAAATTCATTATAGCCAGTAAACTCATCTGAAAACATGTGTAATCTATAATGAACGTTATTCTGATATTTTTTAAGTGGTTATTTATACTCTTTCGAGTCGAGATTGATGATCTAAGTTTTTGCAATGAAAAGGAAAGCCAGGAGAAGGGTACGTAGGTTACCCACCATTATGCGACGCGTTTCGCCGTTGGTTAAGCGGCTCATGAGGTATATTGGGCTATGTGGATTTACAAATGTCGTACGTTGATAACTTGTATTTATTCCGCCCTGATGCGAAACATGCATATGCGAATTAAATTCAAATTTGTCAAAGTTCGACATTTGTCTTCATTTAGGAACAGTCCTTTTCAAAGCAGATTTTTGTTGTAGCGATGGATAATTAATCCACACACCTACAATTGCTTCCTGGTATACACATGTTTTTGCGCAACCGTTTTGGAAGTGTTGATGGCTCAGAACGTTAAGCGGTCTTGGCAACATTTGTGTTGCTCTGAGGACCTGGGTTCGAGCCCTAGCCGTGCTCGGCTGAAATTAATTTTTGTTATTTGAATTTTGCCTTGTAAGGGCAGTGATCATTTCAAAGTAATTCTAAGTGGTTATTTATATTCTTTCGAGTCGAGCTTGATGATCTAAGTTTTTGCAATGAAAAGGAAAGCCAGGATCAAGAATATTTATACCTTATGGGGGAATATTTTGAGGTGTGTCCATTTTAAAATGGTGGAGGGTATTTAAAATATATTAAAAATGGTGCGAAATTTAGTTTGCATACATATGGTCCCACAAACTAATGACTTCACTTCTTTTTATATTTCTTACTGAAATATTAATTCTACGGGAAAGAAATACTCAAAATGTTTTCATCCATAAATTTATCGTATCACATTTCATTTTCCTCCCTTCTCATTGTGACAAATTTCAAAAACTAAATATCAAATATTGACATTATGGCATAGGAAAACTTTAGCAAACCAATTTTATTTGTTCGCAAACATTGCATTGGTATTACTGTAAATATGACCATGGCTAGTGCCATTAACTATGGGAAACAATATCGAAATGACCACCCAGAATAACAAACCTCCAGCGCACCACTTTGGAAAGTTGTTGAAAAATCCCACCAAAGCCATTGGAAAAACACCCCATAAATATTTATTGATTGTCGGCAACTTTCCCCTTGGCCATGGTTATTCCGGTTTGTTGTTTGGGTCAAAGTGCCAAACTTTTTTGTTAGCAGCACAACATGAGAGACAGGGCACAACACGGGTGAAGGGAGGTGGATATGCTTCGTTGACTAAATGTTTGCAGGGTCAGTCGCCAATGGATGGTAATTTGTAAACAATGTCTTGTTAAATGGAGCGACAATAAGCGCATCAATTTATTTGCCTAGCCAATATTGTTGTTGTTCAGTTTTTGTTGTTGATACTGGGAACTATTTTATGGGGCAAACCAATTTGTATTTGTTGACAATTCAATTAATGGGGATCCGAAAAAACGAAGCAGAACCGAAAAAAATTGATTTCTAACATTTGCTTCTTCTTCATCTTGTTTCTCATTTGTTACAGGGACTATTTTTATGATAGCTATTACGCCTCAACCATGAATCGCAACAATTCCATACGACCGAAGAAACGTAAACGCCTTATGAGCAATTCCAGCCGCTTGGTTGGCTTGAGTGATGCTGTCAGTAGTACGAATCTAAATGCAGCCATGGCTGCAGCCTCAATGGCTCAACAACAGCAACAATTGGTGCAACATCAACAGCAGCAGCAACAACATCATCAACAGCAACAGGCAGCAGTTGTGGCCATGGCCGCAATGGCCAATCTATTGCCCCAACAACAAATGTTGCTGCATCATCAACAGAGTATGCTGACCAATGCTAATGGCACAGCAGCAACATGTAATGGTGCCACCACAGCTCCCCATCACGCCAGCTTAAGTATGTATCTGCAACAGCAACAACAACAGCATCATCAGCAGCAACAACAACAAGCAGCAGCGGCAGCTGTTGCCGCCGCACAATATGCCGCCGCAGCTACAAATAGTTCGTTGCAATTGAAAATGTCATCACCATTAATGGCGGGGCCCACAGGGCAGGCTGTTGCATCAACGAATTCATTGCTTACCCATGACAATGATCAATTACTGTCGGCGGCGACAACAACAGCATCCAATAGTCATCAGTCACATTTGCAGCAACAGCAACATACATCAGTAGCAGGTACACATCTCATACAGCCATTGTCACTGTCAGTAGCAGCACAACAACAGCAGCAGCATCAAAGTCATCATCATTATCAGCAGCAAATTCAAAAACATCAACAACAGCAGCATCAACAACAACTGCAATATGAACAAACCCAGCAGCATCAACAGCAGCAACAAGATGAGCAAGATCAATTATCGCTGAATAATGCATGGGGACCATTTAAAGTTTACAGTAAGTAGAATTATACGATTTACATAAGTTCCTTCTAGGGACCCTGTCGGAGAACTCATCCTTAATAAGAAGTCCCTTCTGTACATAATAAATAGACTCGTTGTTGTTGTATAAGACAAACATTTAGGTTTTTTATGGGTTGTTTCTTTTATTCTATAGTAGAATATTTGGGTCTGCTGTAGGAAGAGCTACTCGTATTGTAAAGAAAGACCTCAACGTCTTTTGAGGGAAAAAATGTTTGTCATTTTAAATGGAGACCTTTTGATATTGTATAAGAAGAGTTTGTGTAAGATTCTGTGGTTTCTTTCATTTTATTAGACATTGAGTTCTTTTAATATACGAGTACTATGGTTTTTTTATCAGAAGACATTGTGGTTTTCTAAAAGAAGATATAGTGGATTTTATATACAATTTTTAGAATTAAAGTCTATAGGAATAGCTTTTGGCAAACGAACTCGTAGGCTCGATTGATCTCCTATACAAAGAATCTTTTGTAATCTATAAGTGCATCTTCCAGTCAACTATTCTGGTCCTGTATTGAAAAACTACCTGGTCTTCTATAGATCGATTTGCGGTATGCTATATGAATACCCTTAAGTTATCTTACCGAAGACTTACTGGTATTCCGTAAGAAGACACGTTTGGCTTCTATTAAAACACTAATTGGCATTTTATTAGAAGAGAATTGGGAACTACATTTCGTCAGTAAAATCGAACGAAGAATTATTTTGTAGAACATTTCGTATTTTTAATTCGATTTCTTGTATATCCTTTGCTTCACAGTTTTCGATCAAAAGACCTGATAACCATCGGTTTATCTAAATAAACCCGTCTGGCCTTCTAATAAATGCCGTTCTGGTTTAACATTAGAAAACCTTTTATTAGGCCCTATGGTCTTCCATTATATGATCTTTAGGTCTACTATTCGTAGTAAATAATTAGTATATTATATGAATAGTGCTCAGAAAGTGTTGCCAATGTCGGAGTTCTGCATTTAATGAATGCAATTCATAAATTTTTAAATACTGCTTTCATGTCAGAGGGGGAGAGAGAGAGATAATGAAAACAAGCGAAAAAGCGTTAAGTTCGGCCGGGCCGAACTTTGGATACCCTCCACCATAGATATACTGACAGGTACTTGAAATAAAAATATAGGGAAAAAACCAAAAAGTGGACCTATATCGACATTTCCACAAACTGGTTATGTAAACCACAATGTAAAGTATAAAACAAATTCCTGAATCCTCGTTCGGTATTGAAGGGCTCCGATAGGTCCTTTCCTACTTTCACTGCTGACCTTGTGCCACTTAAAGTTATCCTGCATAGCCGTATTATTTTGCAGGTATGCCGAACGCAGACATGGCTTTAAACACCTCTGAACGGATAGGGCTGTCGAATGCGGCTTTATAGTCGACAAATAGGTTGTATGTGTCGATGTGTTTTTCATGAGTCTTTTCCAGGATTTTGAGAGTGAAAATCTGGTCAATGGTGGATTTGTCAGGTCTGAAGCCGCATTGGTATGGTCCGATGATGTCATTGACCATTGGCTTCAATCGTTCACACAGCCCACTGGATAATACTTTATATGCGATGGGAAGGAGACTTATTCCTCTATAGTTGGCACATATCGTCTTGTCTCCTTTTCTGTGCACGGAACACAGTATGCTGAGGTTCCAATCATTGGGCATGCATTCATCTAGCCAAATTGTGCTAATCAGCTGGTGCATGCTCCTGACCAGCATCTGGCCACCAGTGTTGAATAGTTCGGCTGGTAACCCATCGGCTCTTGCTGCTTTGTTGTTCTTAAGCCGATTAATTACTTTTATGACCTCATCTAGGTGGTATACACTCTATACCATCATCTCTTATTGGTTCTGGGGTATCTTCTTCATCGCCACTATTTGATACTAGAAGCTTTTCGATATGCTCCTTCCAGATCCTCAACACGCTGTCTGTATCTGTCACCAGGTTTCCTTCTTCATCTCTACAGGAAGATGTGCCTGCACCAAAGCCTTCGGTTTGGTGTTTTACTCGTTGGTAAAATTTCCGGACTTCATTCTGACTCATGTACATCTCGATTTGCTCACGCTCACGTTTTTCTTGTTCTTTCTTCTTTTTTCTGAAAACACGTTTCTCCTCTCTCCTTTTCTACCGATAATTCTCCATCACGTTACGTGTTGCTACTGTCTGCAGGGTTGCCCTATACGTTGCGTTTTTCACATCAGTAGCATTACGACACTCCTGATCGTACCATGGGTTTCTTGGTGGTGGGTTTTGGTACCTAATTGTTCTTTTTGCTGCAGTTTTTACGGTACTATTATCGGGACAAGAAGTGCTTTCTTCAAGCAGATGGGCAAGTTGAGCAGAGTAGGCCTCGGCTGCCTGTTGTGTTTGCAGCTTTTCGACGTCGAGTTACCGTGTTGTATTAGATCGCACCTTTGCTGCAACATTAAGACGGGTGCGTACCACACGGTAATGGTGCGAATCGATATTCGCTCCTCGGATCGATCGGCCTTGTGTATATCGAGATGCTTGTATCTGGTGCTGCTAACTACCATGTTTTTTGCTGCCGCGAAGTCAATCAACCTCATGCCGTTGTCGGATGTTTCATCATGAAGGCTGAATTTTCCGACGGTGGGGTCAAAGATATTTTCCCTTCCGATTTTTGCATTCAAATCTCCTAGCAGAATTTTAATGTCATGACCGGTTCAACGATCATGTGCTGTTTCTAGGCGCTCATAAAATATGTCTTTGGTCTGTTCATCTTTATCTTCGGTCGGAGCATGGGCGCAAATTAGACTGATGTAAAATAACTTCGCTTTTATACGGATTATAGCAATACGCTCATCTACTGGAGTGAATCTGGAGGCAAGGTATTTTATTCTCCTGTTAACCATAAATCCGCAGCCAAATTCATGTCTCGATTCATGGCAGCTATTATACAGAGCGTTATCGTCTGATTTACTTACGCCTGTCCCTTTCCATCGCATTTCTTGTAAGGCAATAATATCGGCTTTGTACTTCTTGAGTATATCCGCCAAAGCGAACACTGCGCCGGTTCTGTACAAGGTGCGCACATTCCAAGTGCAGATTCGCAGATCGTGGTCCTTTATACGTTTGCGGGGGTCGTCAACATTAGGTACTCAAAGTATTCTATATAAAATATTCCTTTTCTCTTTGTCTTTCTAAAGAAGTCCAAAACTACATCTTCAACATATAACATAATAGCTCTTCTCTTTTACCCCACCCTGTGCAGATTTCAATTTTTTACACACAGTTTATACATCTTTCTATTTCATCTTGTTTCAGGCAATCCGGACACATTAATCTGTGGCAATTGTCGAGAATGTTTCAACGAACTGGCTGAATTATTAGACCACAAGAGAACTTATTGCAAACTACGATTCACATGCAAATGCCAAGATCTAACGATGCCAACAAGTAAGTATGAATAGAGAATAGGGAAACATGTTGGAATATTAGTTCTACTCCTTTCTATTGTATCCACAACAACAACAGCAACAAAGAACAACAATTTTGTAATATTACAATGGACAATATAAGAATGATGACAATGGCTGGTGATGTTGGTGATTATGATGATGACGATGATGTTGATAATTTTTATTACAACACCATATGTTGCAAATACATATAGAATATTTGCCACCAACTTCATACAAAGCATACCACACCGACGACATACATTGTCTATATCATTGAAGTCTGTTGCATTTGCATCAAGCTTCTTACAGTTTTATTAGACGTCTGCATCAAGGGAATTTGTCTACAAACATTTTCATGTAGTTGAACAAGAAGAAGAGGATATGCATTGATGTTAGTAATTAATTCATTATTGTTTAACACTTATGCTAAGTAATTGCCTGTGGGAATGTGATTAGAATTTTAAATATTGAAAATAAATTCGAGTACAGATAGGTGTTAATTTTTTTAGAGGGACACACAAAATATATTTTCAGGAATATGTTCGACTGCATATGGTTATGGCCCAGTGACATTTCGGTATTTTTAAGGCCATGTAAGCCTTTTCAAAATGATAGAGGTTTATTTGACATTCTTGGTGGGAGAGCGCAGAAAATTTTCAATATTTTGTCATAGCCCCCATCCAAAGGACGCGGCAAATGGTAGGTATATTTATGTTTCCAGGTTGGAAATTTCTGCGACTATTCTCTAAAGTCTCAGACTTCTCGGCAGAAATTTGCCAATATAGGTCTACGATTTTTCCAAATATGTGTTATATTGGGGGTATATGGATGATCCCAGGTGTATTGACCGATTTGGCATTTCGTATGTGTAAATTGATTCGTGCTTTATGAGTCAAGCTCGTCCGAATTTGTTGGAATTGAAGTTTGAGTTGAAAAATAGGCTCATTCACAGAGAAATTATAAAACCAGTAAGGAAAGTAGTAAAGTCGGACGGGGCCGACTATATGATACCCTTCACCACTATGGGTATAGTAAACCGCTGATGATATTTATATAAATATCATCTGCCTAGATCTATCCATAAACATATCATTCGTTTGTTACAATGGGACAAACGTATGTAAATCGACTTCAAACAAATATAAACAGGTCATCCGTTGGACTATGCCTGTGCTTCCAGAAAACGCAACAATTCTATGCTCAATTTTATACGTTCTGCAAAATTTGATGTCAATCTGACTAACATGAGGAGTTTAATGCCCAATTTACTTAAAATCGGGCGAAAATATATATGGAAGCTATATCCAAATATGGAACAATTTCAACCAACAATAGGCTTGTTCCTACCAGCCTATTGGTTCCTTGGTGCGTCAATTACTTAAAATCAATCTATAATAAAAGGGAGTTATAGCTAAATCTCAACCGATTTTCACGAAACTTGGCACCCATCATTCTGGACTAAATTTACATTAAATCGGACAAATATATATTTGGGACCTATATCAAAAACCTTGACCGATTTTAACGAAACTTGACCGACATCACTCTAGGCTCGATTCAGTACGTTATGCCAAATTTCGTGCAAATCGAAGGATATATAGGGACTTTGGTGCACCATTTACATGAAATCGGACGAAACTATATATGGGAGCTATATCTACAAATGGACCGATTTTCTCGAAACTTGGCAGACATCACTCTAGGCTCAATTCAGTAAGTTATGCCAAATTTCGTGCAAATCGAAGGATATATAGGGACTTTGGTGCACCATTTACATGAAATCGGACGAAACTATATATGGGAGCTATATCCAAGTCTGGACCGATTTTCTCGAAACTTGACCGACATCAATCTATGCTCAATTCTGTACGTTATGCCAAATTTCGTGCAAATCGAAGGATATATAGGGACTTTGGTGCACCATTTACATGAAATCGGACGAAACTATATATGGGAGCTATATCTAAGTCTGGACCGATTCTCTCGAAACTTGGCAGACAACACTCTAGGCTCAGTTCAGTACGTTATGCCAAATTTCGTGCAAATCGAAAGATATATAGGGACTTGGGTGCACCATTTACATAAAATCGGACGAAACTATTTATGGGAACTATATCTAGATCTGGACCGATTTTCACGAAACTTTGCAGATATCACTCTAGGCTCAATTCTGTACGTTATGCCAAATTTCGTGCAAATCGACATATATATAGGGTCTTTGGTGCACAATTTACCTTAAATCTGACAAATATATATATATATATATGGGAGCTATATCTAAATCTGAACCGATTTTTCCCAATTTCAATAGGATTCGTCCTTGGGCCAAACAAATTACCTGTGCCAAATTTCATCCAAATCGGATTATAAATGCGACCTGTACTTTGTTAACAAAAATACATGGACGGACGGACATGCATAAATCGACTTAAAAGGTGATTCTATGCATATTCTCAAAAGGAACCACATGTCTATCTCGTTTCCTTTTTCCTGTTACAAACATATGCACAAAGACATAATACTACAGTCTAGTGAAGGGTATAAATATGACAATAATTTGTCAAAGTTCATATAAAAAAAAAAAACAAAAAATAATGTTTAAAAGATTTTAATGTACAGATTTTTTTTCAATTATAACTATAATTCCCAGCCGACTTTTATTTTGTAAACTAGTGTAATTAAACTATAGTTAAAGGGATGCTAATATCAGCCGCAAGGCCATTTACCAAACCGTGCAGTTAGCCTTTGCAATTTGCCATCCTGGCCTTCCAAGGACCAAGGCTATGCAATTTATTATGGTATATTGTTACTGTTTTTGTTGTTGTTGTCCTTGTTATTTGTGTTAGTCGTTTACACCATAAACATGATGCATGACTTACTGTGGTCAACAGCAAACATGCTAGAGGTTGGTTGCCTCATGTTAAAATGTTTGGAAAATTGAGTTGTTTATGAGTCTGAGCCGGAGTGTAAACATCATCTAATAAAGGAAGGATGCCCATTAGCCAAGGATTTCTTTTTAAATATTGAAAAATGCTTCAAAACTCCCTTTCCTTTTCCTGCCATACCTTCCTTAACATTGTTGTTTCATTCACATTTAACCCATTTGAACTTTCACTTTACAGGAAATCCAGTCATTGGCGCTAAATTGTTGTGTGCCGTATGCAAGGATGCCTTCACCAATCCCTGGGACCTAATGGTGCATGCTCAGGCCGCCCATATGGTCAACATTTATGAATTGGGCACTGAACCCAATAACAACAGCAGCAACGCGGCCAACAATAACACTGCCAATGGCAACAACAATGAGGATGCCAACCTAACGGGGACAGATGCATTAGCATCGACGGCAAATGGCAACGCCAATGAGCCACCCAATAACAATGGTCTACATTGCAACAACACTGACAATGACTCGAACAATAACAACACCAAAAACCACAATGGTATCATCATATCGCGTGATGCAAATTGTTTCTCTCTAACCGGTAAAATGGAACCCCCCATCACATTGGCCACCACATCGGCTTCATCATCATTATCTTCGTTGTCGCCGTCATCGTCGTCATTGACAACAGTGGCCAATATAACAGATACGGATGCTGGAGTAATGAGCTGTGTCGCCAATGACACCAACAACATTGCGTGCAATGGCACTGCAATGTCGCTGGAACTGGGTCACTCGAGTGATACAGAGACTCATTTGGAGCTTAAATTTGGCATTTGTAATAGTCCTATTGCCACAATTAACAACAAAGAGGTAAGTTCCGGCTATTCAAAAATTAAAAGATATGTTGCAGCGAAAAATGAGAAGGAAAAAAGATTGGTGGAACTAATCAAAATTCTTGCAATTTAATTGACAATATATTCTAGAGAAGATTTTTTTTAGTCATGATTTTGGATACAAGAAATTACGAATGAAGATTATGAAGTTCAAACATTAAACTTATTGGATTGGCACTGATTGGGTAGAGGGGCGAGGCTACCACCACATGCCCCAGTTGACTTTTTTCATGTTAAGGCATGGTATAATAATAGAAGGTAACAGCAAGTGTTGTTGTACAAAAAACGATACAACAACCACATGGAAATTTGTTGTTGTAAGTTCTACTAGTGTCAACTCATTTGACAGAAAAATGTAAACAAACAAACAAATTATCATCAAATTATTTTTATTTTGAAAATGAAATATTTTCGAATCCTCAAAATAAAAATTGAAAAAACATGAATGAAAATGTATCAAATTTATATTTCTATCGCTTCCACATCTTTCCTATAATTGAGCCATTGCCATATATATGTGTAACACATATGAAAATGCTGGGAATAGCGAGTTATTCCTTGAAGAAAGATTTGCTTCCTCAAACTTTCCCAGCAGGCAGATTGAGTAAATTGAATACAAGAGCACATTTAATAAAGAACAATTTCAAATTGTATGCGTTCCCAATTTTCCTGTTGGGTGATTTTTAAAAACATAATTTGTCAAATTCATATTGACACTAGTATTACGTTGGAATCAAATCAGCTGGGATTTGCTGTTACCTTTTATAATTGTACCATGATGTTAAGGGTGGAAAAAATTTAAAAATTCTGAAATTCATGTTATAAAAATTCGTCAAATTCTATTGTGAAGTTTCGCAAATTTCAAGTTCAGAATAATTTTTAATACCATACGATCGTATGTCTTTTTAAACAAGTAAGAAAAGCAGTAATGTAGGACTGGGCCGACTATATAATACCCTTCACCACTTTGGGTATATTGTACATATGTATCCCCTCCAAGGAACATACGCAAGTCTTTCTGCAACCTATGGTAAATTTAATTTCATTCGGGCAGATTTAAAGTCGACTTCGTACCATGGGACAAATTTATGAAAAACGACTTATAGAAAAATTAATACGCGCTATTCGGTCGCCGCACTGTTAAAATTTTAATTTCATTCAGACATCCATTCGAAATACATATGGAAGCTTTGACAGCATCTACATCAATTTCAGGTAGCTATATCTAAATCTGAACCGATTTTCACGAAACTTAGCACACATCATTCTGGACCTAATTCAGTACTCTATGCCAAATTTCATGCAAATCGAATGATATATAGGAACTTTGTTGCACCAGTTACCTTAAATCGGACGAAACTATATATTGGAGCTGTATCTACATCTGAACCGATTTTCTCGAAACTTGGCACACATCATTCTGGACCTAATTCATTACTCTATGCCAAATTTCGTGCAAATCGAATCATATATAGGGTCTTTGGTGCACCATTTACCTTAAATCGGGCGAAACTATGTATGGGAGGTATATCTAAATCTGAACCGATTTTCTGGAAACTTGGCACACATCATTCACTACCTAATTCAGTACTCTATTCCAAATTTCGTGCAAATCGAATGATATATAGGGACTTTGGTGCACCATTTACCTTAAATCGGACGAACCTATATATGGGAGCTATATCTAAATCTGACCCGATTTTCTTGGCACACATCGTTCTGCACCTAATTCAGTACTCTATGCCAAATTTTATGCAAATCGAAGGATACAGAGGGACATTGGTGCCCCATTTACCTTAAATCGGACGAACCTATATTTATGGAGCTATATCTAAATCTGAACCGATTTTCTCGAAACTTGGCACACATCGTTTTGCACCTAATTCAGTACTTTATTGCCAATTTCATGCAAATCGAAAGATATAGAGGGACTTTGGTTCCCCATTTACCTTAAATCGGACGAGAATATATATGGGAGCTATATCTAAATCTGAACCAATTTTTCCCAATTTCAATAAGGTTCGTCCTTGGGCCAAATAAGTGACTTGTGCCAAATTTCATCCAAATCGGATCATAAATGCGACCTGTACTTTGTTTATAATTTAACATCTACAGACGGTCGGACATGCATAAATCGACTCAGAAAGCGATTCTATGCATATTCTCAAAAGGAACCATGTATATATCTCGTTTCCTTTTGCCTGTTACAAACATATGCACAAAGACATAATACTCTGTACCACAGTGTGGTGAAGGGTATAAACAGGAATGCGGAGCCGGAATCTGAGTTGATCAATTTTACAAGAGTCAAAATCTGAGACGGAAAAGTTATTTGACTATGGTACCGATATATACCTATTTCTAGAATCAGTTCGGAACGCGGTGCAAAAACATGACCATTATTAAAGTTCCTGTCCTGTCTATTTTTACCAAAAATTATCTCAATTTTTGCAGGAACCCGTAATCCGCGACGATGGATCTCTGGATGAACGCATGTCAGATGATGTAAAAATATTACGCAGTAATGGCTCCGTATCATCACGTGGTAGTACGCCAACCATGACGGACAATGAGGATGCAACGCGAATGCAACAAAGGGCCTGCATTGTACGCACTTTAAGCTTTGTGAGTATGCAAAAAAAAAACAACATAAATAAATATATTTTTAAATTTAATTTGGTAGTGCAATTTCACAATCAAATTAATAATTTCAATTAATTAAAAAACCACACACTGAAACAAGTAAACAGTCAAATTAAGTGAAAATAATTGAAAGCCTTAATAACGTCAGACACAGGCGAACATAACACACACACACAGACACATTTACATAGTCCAACTTGAAATTAAAATAAAAATATTTATAATTACAAATGTGTTCCTTCCACACAATTTTCATATGCAATTGTTTTGTTTGTCTGTTTGTCGAATTTTACAGGAGGCCGCCGCCACCACCACCAGTGTGAGCACTCCGCCCACAACAACGGCCACACTTGGCTTAATAACCAACAACAGTTTGGCTTTAGGCTTGAATAGCAGTAGTGCGGTGTCATCCGCAGCTGCTGTGGCGCCACAATAGGGCATACCACAGGCTCAAGCCTCACAAACTCGCACATTTAAATTCCCGAAAAACCGCAGAAAAAAAGTAAAAAATTTCATCGGTCATCCCACGCATCAACAGCATCCACATCACCATTCACACCACCACCAACAACAGCATCGACGTGCATATGAGGGCAATACCAGTTTTACAACAATGGCAACTGTGGCGGCAAAGTCAGCTTCCACCGTTGAAAACAAACAATTTGTTGGCACTTTTATGTCCTGTTATCCTCTGCCGACCCATTGTGTCTGGAGATCGGAACAAATATTTGGTGGACAGCAACGCTGATGGCTGGCAAACGCCTGTGGCCAATATCACAGCCATCAACAGCAACAACACCACCAGCTTCAGCATCAGCCGCACTTAGCCGGGAAACAACAACAAAAACTACAACAAAATAATGCCAACCAAATGAACGTCAAGATTATAAATAATTTAAGCCTTCAGTTGCAGTTCAGTTGAACTTTCAAACAAAAACTATAACAATGGTAAATATATCGGCATGTGTATGTGTATTTATGAATTGTTATTGCATTTTATTGTTGGCTTTTTGTTTTTCATTTTTTTTTTTTGTTGGTTTGTGTTCTCTTCTCATTGAAAAAAAAGAAAAACTATTTGCTCCACAAAAAGTATGTTTTGAAATGAATAAAATTTACCATCGAATAGAATAGAACAGCAGAATGAGGATGAGTAGAATTTTGTAAAATATGTGTTCATATATTTTTTTCGGAACTTTTTATAAATAACTGCAGTTATATTGAATTTCCAAAGTTAATAATAAAATTGACATACATATATACTCCATGTCATAGGGTAGGTAGTTTTTCAAATGATATTTGGTTATTTACAAAGGGGTTTTTGAAGTTTAAAATGTGATGTGCCTAAACTTTATACCCTAAACCATAAAATAAGTATTCAAAATATTTTAAAATTGTAATAGGCAGGATATATCAAAGCAAGGAACCACTTTGAAATTGTTCTCACGACATGTTTCATATCCCTTGAACTTCTAAATATGTAAAAAGTCGTTAAGTTAGTCCGGCCTCAAGATTTTATATCCTCCACCCTGAGGTTTACCTAAAATCGATCTGGTTTTTATGTAGAGGCTGTCGTGGTAAATTGCTGTTAGAAAAATACCAAAGTGCAGACACTCCGATTTGAAAATTGGGCTAACACCGTTAAAAGGCATATATATATATATATATATAACACCAGTGAGCAAAACAGTATTGTCTATCCGAACTATCACCGAACTCTATTTTATATTTTATGTATATTCTGAGCCTGATCAATAATTCGCGATATTTGCAGCCGACTTATAATTGTGGTCTATGGGACGATTTGAAAAATACTTAAACATTACGTTATCGATCCATTTCATCCCGTAAATCTGATAATCACAGAAAATTACAGTGGTCGTCCATGGACATAATCGGACCTTCATGTAAAATTTTATAGCGATCAGAGCTCTATCTCCGCCCTCTAATGTGGTAATGGCTAATAATATCAGAATACGTAGACCCCTGTAAATATTTATGTATAACTCCCATATTTCAGTACATACAACAGTATAATTGGTATCACATTGAAGGTCAATTAACCACCCATCATACTATCAATTTCTCATTCATTTTTCACAAAAAAATCTGGATCCATTTGACTAGCAAAATATTGACCGATTTTCATCAAAACCATGACTATTCTATGACCAGACCCCTCTCTCTGAGTAAAATTCGTGATGATCAGATCGACTCAGCTTGTCGAGATATGACGCGACGTTACAAACCAGGGACCGTAACGGTTATAAGTTATATCAAATCAGGTAAAAAATAACTGTTTTTATATTAATTAAAGAGTTGGAACTTGTTCCGATCGTTGCTTTCTTAGAATAGTTCCAATGAACTAGTTCGTTCCGGAACTACCCAACTCTAGTAGTTACAACATGGGAAACTATGATACCAGACAGGGAATCATGGGATAGCGGAACAATAGTTAACATACTCCCTGAGAACTGCTGCTACACAGATGACTCCCAGATAGCAGGCAATGGGGGTTTCCATTGAAGAACCCAAAATCAAAATTTCCCTTCGCCAACCAGATTACAATACGATCGTGCAGGCAGAGGTTTAGGCTATAACAGAGTGTCTGAACGGATTTAAGGCAAACCAGAACATTTCCTGGGCCACTTAACAGCTTTTTCAACCTTTCGAACCCAAGGGGATGTAAATGAAAAAAAAAAAATAAACTGATGGACTTCACTAATGAAACACAATTCCTAGACGTTTAGGACAATAAAATCGTAAAATGACTTTCTAAATTTCCTCCTTTTTTAGAGAGCACAACAGGCCACCTACAGGCTTAAGTGTATGTCCTAATATTGGGCATGTGGTGGTCTAAACCCCCCTCTTTTCAACCTAACCTAACTTAGATATGATACAGGGTGAGATGAAAAAACTGAAACCAACTTCAGACTGTTGTCATTTCTAAGCCACTCGTCCGACAGCTGTTAAAATTATTCCAGTGACAGCTCATTATATCAGGAACCGTAACGGTTATAAGTTATATCAAACCAGGTAAAAAACCAGTGAGCGGAGCAGTATAGTCGGACGGGGCCGACCATGCGATACCCTACACAACTACCACGAACTCTAACTTTCTGAGGATGTTTATTCCGAGTCTGAGTAATATTTCGTGATATTTGCTTCCTCTTGTCCGATTAGAGGTTAACAACACCTCTTCCTTACTTTTTTCAAATATTCAGTACAGTCCTTCTAATTACTTGTCCAGATTACCTTCACGGTGGGTTGTGTTGTGATTTTCGGATTATACTCTACTCGAAAACACACAAAAAATTATGTTTTCGGTCCATTTCATCCCAAAATTTTAATCTGATCATCACCGAAAATTGTAGGCGTTGTTCTTGACCATAACTGGAACTTCATGAAAAATTTCAAAGCCATCAGCGCGATATTTCTCCCTCTAATGTGGTAATGGGTTACTAAATAATATCTGAATACGTAAGCACCTGTAAATATTTGACTGTAACTCCCACATCTGAGTAGATACATCACTATATTTGGTATCAATTTAAAGGCCAACCACTCCTCTTGGATATGCTATTAACTCCTGGGGTCTACATCCTCCTGGAGTAAATATATATGCCATATAATACAAATTTTGTCATTTTTCACACAAAAGTCAGGGTCCATTTGACCCGCTAAATATTGACCGATCTTTATCAAAACATGCATGCTTATTCTCTGGCCCGATCCCCTTCTCCATGCAAAATCGCGGTGTTTGGGCCATAATTGCGGCCTCTGGAGCGTCCAGAAAAACCGACAAAAATTTAGTATTTGGTCCATTTCATCCCCTAAATATTAACCGATCTTTTCCAAAAACAATAGGGGTCTTCATTGGCCAGAACCCATCCTACATGCAAAATTTCGTGAAGATTGGTCCATAACTGTGGCCTGTATCGTGTTTACAAATTATAATGGACAGACGGACGGACGGACGGACACACATGTCTAGATCGACTCAGCTAGTCGAGATATGACGATCGGTATACTTAAAGGTGGGTCTAGGACCAATATTTCGCGGCGTTACAAACATTTGGGGCTGCACAAAGCTATAATACCCTGACAACATAGTTGTGTAGGGTATAATAACTTATTTTGTGGCCTAAATAAGAAAAATCCACTTTAATTATTTATTTTTAACGGAAAAAATAAACGTCGATTTTTAACTGTTAAAAATGATTGTTATTTTTCCGTCAAAAATAAAAGTCTTTTTGGGATTTTCATTTTTTTCGTCAAAAAAGTCTTTACGGGATTTTTATTTTTCCGTCAAAAAAAGTCTTTTTGGGATTTTTATTTTTTCCGTCAAAAATAAAAGTCTTTTTGGTAGTTTTATTTTTTCCGTCAGGAAATAAAACTCTTTTTACGTAAAGAAGCTTAAAAATCGATGTTCATTTTTTCCGTTGAATAATAAGCCTTAACATGGGAACTGAGAGTGTTTTCTCATGATCACTCAATATCCTTAATGGGCTCCTCAATACGAATGACACTATAGGTGTCCCATGTCTCTAACATGAAGATTCTTTTGTTCGCATTTTAAAAAATAACTGTTATTTTCGGTCCCTGTTACAAACTCTTGGGGTCACACAAAGCTATCATAAATATAATATTTGTGTAGGGTATAATAATGCGTGACCTAAGTATGACCTATGCAAATTGAAATGCTCTGTGAACAAGTTGTTTATCCACCAAGGTCTCGAAAAATGAAAAACATAGATATACCTAGGTCACTTAAATTTCATATGGATAGGTTGGGACTTTATCCCTGACACCCAATTTAGAGGCAACTCGGTTGAAATACATACATGAAATTCTGAAATTAGGGGTACAATAAAACGGGGACTATACATGACCATGAACCAATATTGATTACAGTGACAACCGATGGGAACCAAAAATACAAAAGTACAGCGAATACTTTTAAATATATATCTTAATAAATCGCGATTTCAACAGACAGACATCAAAATGATATTTTTTATAATCAAAAATGTATATACTTTATGGATTCTCTGGTGAATATTTCGAGGTGTTGAAAACGAAGTTTAATATCCGTTTTCGTATTACTCAATTACGCCCTGCATATTAGCCGGTTTAAATCGGTAATATAATCAAATTCGAACTTTCCATTCTATTATAATGACTTGGAGTGTATATCATTCAATTTTTCCATAGTTTAATACAAAATATGTATGTGACTGCAAAATTGTGAACAATTTTTTGCTGCAGAAGTCTGTTTCTTTTTAACTCTAAAGATAACATATTTCCTTATAGGTATATTTCTTGTTAAATTTATTAAAACAAAATAAACACAATACTTTTGGAGAACTTTTCATAGAAAAGCAGTTAACAAAGAATCCCTAACGTAAACAATTCATAAGAATATATATATATATATATATATAAAGTATTTTAAAATATATATATAAAGTATATATAAAATATTTTAAAACAAATATTACCACAAACATATCATTTTTATAT